TTTGCAATATGTTCATTTAAGCTGTTGATTGAGGTGGGTTGTGCAATTACAGTACTCTTGAAACTCAGAGCAGCTGCACACTTTTTCTGCTGCCATTGCAGAGGAGGTGATGAACAGTACTCAAACCTTGGTCCACTGGTAAAAGTTGTTTTAAAGGACTGATAATTTTTTGCTGTTTGTTTAATGACATTTTTCCTTCATCCTTTCTTCAGATTTGCACTTTTACCACTGCTACAAACAGCCCTCTCTGCCATGCAGTTTCCATAATTTTGTCACTACCAAATAATTCTTCCCCGTGGTTTCCTGGGGCTGCTGTTTGGTGACTCATTGTCACATCATGCCTCAAAGTAATTAAGTTCTTCCTATCAAACCTGCTAGGAATTTTTGGAAAAGTGAATCAGAAGACATCCTCTCCATTACTTAAGTATTTGTTTCTCTCACAGATGAGTTATTGTCCCTCTAGTAATGAAATTAATGTAAAGTGAGTATCAAAGATCATTTTTAGTTATTTGTGCAGCAGCAAGTAGCAACCACTTGAGAAGAGAAGCAAAAGAACTACTCCTCAACTGCTGCAATTATTTTTAAAGATCCATGCAACAGTCTTGCAGTGCCACTGAAGAGCCTTTGACACACAACGCTGTAAAGACTGTCCCTAGCCTTGCAGGCTTCAGCTACATCCTCATGGGTATTATATATTCAGTTTTACACAATCTCAGCGGAAGAAGGTGGAAACTTTGGGAGAACTTAGACTTTTATAGATCTTTTAAGATCTCCTGAACTCTGTAGGAGGGGGAAGGAGGGAGACAGACAGAGACAGATGGACAGACAGAAATCTGGAGTAGAGGAAGATAAATATTGCAATTAATTTTTCAAACAAAGAAGTTGTGCACAGACAGTACAGGTGAGATGTTAAAAAGTGGACAGTACTGATTTAAACATTCAACAATGTGATGGCAAAAGCTCAATTTTGTTTCAGTGGTCCTCAATTAGAGTAGCAGGATGAATTTTTCAAAAGTCAGCTATGGTCTTATGAAATAGTCTGTGGCAGAAATATGAACTGAACCTAGAGCTTGAAGAAGCCCACTAACTATATTCCATTACAAATACTTCAGAGTTTTATCAAGTTGTAGACTGCTTTTTATAGAAAGAAAGCTTCTGTAGGAAAATTTATGACTGCTGTCCTGCCGTGTGTTACTGACAGAAAGCCAGAGAGTAGCTGTTGCAGTGGTTGTGTGTCATCTACATGCAATAGCTTATCCAATAAGAACATCATTATAATATTAATACTTGTGGCTTTGCAGGGACAGTTTGTTCTGTTAAACAATTTACTTCTAATGCAAAATCTGTTCCAAATGCGGCTACAATTTTGTAAATAACACTGCTTCTGTTATGTAATTTTGTGTGATTTAATATCTACATGCAAACAAAATAAATGGTGGAGTTTATGGTTTCAATTCCACTGATACCTTTGTTGTTGCATTAGTAGTAGAGACAGTGTTCAGGTCTTTCCCAACTCAATTTTAAATTTCTAGTATTATTCAGCTTTATGATTTTCCATGCTGATATCCACTAACATTATGTCAGAAAACAAAAAAACTTGCTACAGTGTCATCCCTTGCATACTCTGTAAGTTCATCAGACATAGATTCATCTTGATTTGAAAATTTAGCATGATAATGAACCTCCCATCAAAATACTGCAAGGACCAATTATGTCACCAAAAAGCACCAGAACTGTATTTTGATAATGCAGCCATGAAAAGTTTGTGAAGGTAAGAGGGCATATACAAAATTAACCTCACCTCTGGAGTGAAACATCCTGAAGAAATGCAAAGGACTCGCTGAAGGCCAGGGAATTGCAAGCTCAACAATATAGACTGACTTCAACCATCGCTGCCCTTGTCTTGGACCTGCTGGGGTACTTCTGCTTGCCCAGGTCTCCTTGGGGTGCTGTGCAGTGTCTGTAAGCTCAAAAACAGTTGTTTCACAGCTCTCTGCCCAAAATAACACAAAATTACATCACAGTCCATTACAGAATTTTTTGCAGCATGATGGAGAGATCTGGATAACAAATGTCCCACCAGCAAAGATTAAGAGTAGAAAAAAACTGAATCAAACAAAGAGCAAGACAAATTGACACCGCTGACACATGAAATGAGTCAAGCAGATTCCTTGGCACAAAACCAGAACTTTAGCTACCAAAGTCCCTACCAGAAATCACTCTGATTGGTAACACATCCTCATGTGTCAGTCTTCAGTATTAAAGGAACACAGCTCAGAGCTTCATAAAATTCTTCATTATCAATTAATATAGAACTATGAATCTGTACATGCCATACAGAGTAGCCTAAAATTATTCCACCTGACTTCTGACAAAATGGTGTGAGCAGGAATCTGTAGAGAGAGTGTCTCTTTAGATAAATCTGTTAGTGATCCACAGATTAAGGGATAGTTGCACTGCTCATTCTACGAAAACATTTACACAGAGAGTCAAGGAGCCTTTTTAAGACTCATGAATGCCCATTTTCACCTCTAAGTCACCCAACATTCAAAAGCTGATATTGAGAAGCTTAGTGGAAGCTCATAACATCTGTCTTACAGACCTCAAATTAGTACTTCTGTCAGCAGCTACAACCGGCTTGACAGGCAATGGAGAAGAGCCCACCTTAACACACAAGTATCAGCACTGTTAGGTCAGAATTTTATGTAGCAGAATATCCTCTTCCTGCTTGTGGTCATTATTTTATTAAGGATAGTACCACAGAACACAGACGTCCCAGATCCTGGCACAAACTCATCATGGAGTTCCATTAGTGTCCCTGCCCCAGCAGGAAAGCTCACCATACTCTGCCTCCCCAGCATGGTTACTACCCTTCAGCTTATTTTTCATCTGTGCTTTCCCTTGTATATCCAGACTGTTTATCTAGTGCGTTTCAAAGACCTTGCTGAAGGAATTTTGCCAAAAGCCTTTCAGAAATCTGGGTAGTTTGTATCAAAAGGTCTCTCATAACTAACATGTTTTGGCAAATCACTTCAAAGAACACATAGGTTGTTGAGGTAGGACTTCCCTTTGCACAAGTTAGTATTAACTCTTTGCAAACACATCATATTTGTCTGTGTTCACTCTTTCCATTCCCTTCTTACCATTCCTACCAGTTTTTCTACTATGCACTTTATTTTTACATGTCCCTACCTCCCTGAGACCTCAGCTGAAATGCTGAAATTTTTAGTCTGGTGTCACATTTGCCAGCTATGAAAACAGTGCAAAGCAAGTGGTTACACACCAGTGAAATCATTGAGGTGTTTCACCTCTGAATACCTCTAAAACTCTTAAGTCAAAGCCATCTGCTTCTACTACTATGTTACAGTTCATTTACTGTTCCATAATTTTAATTTTGGGATGGTCATCTGATTAGCCTGTCACAAAGAAAGCTCCAAGACGGGAATCTCCCTGGCCTTTTATACTCTGAAGGCTTTGTTTACTTGTTCTGCAATAGCTTTGTCTTACCTAACTTCTCCTTTGATACCTGTATCATCTATTTGGCCCTACAAACTCTCTGGCATGGTTCCTGTTCTTGATGCATTTGAAGAGAGATTTATTACATCTGTTAACTCTTTCTCAAACTCTTTTTTTGATAGATAATTGTAGTCAGACATTGAACCTTCCAGGGCTTATGATCCTTTTCATTTTCTTCATTTAGATAGCACTTCAGCCTTTTGAAGTATTAACTTTAACATGAGGTAAGTTTTCTCTCCCTACTCTAAAAATCTTGGCTTCCTCTTGCACTCAGTCCTTTCTTAGTAGGTGTAACCTCTGGTGTGTGCATTTAATATGGGTCTGCAGAAAGCCCACATACAGCCTGAAAAAAACTAAAAATTAAAAAAAAAATTAAAAAAAAAAAAAGTTTAGGTGCTGTGAAAGACATGTGGATGTAACCTAACACCTGACATGCTCCAGGATTGTATTATGCTTAAAGTTTGACAGCGCCAATTTTACCTTAAGTATAAGGAGGGGGAATCAGCCAAACCCTTTAAGAAAAAGGATATTACAAACTGTGACAGGATTTACAATTTAAAGACTTGGATGGTATTAACCTATATAATAGGTTAATACCATCCTGAATTTCTATTACTAATAGTGAATTTCATTACTTAATTAGTAATGAAAAAGTGTTACAGTGGTAGAATGCACCCACAAGAATAAACACTTGGAGCTCAGTCCTCAGAAATGCCAGGTACACTTCATGATTTAGATTTCTTCACCTTTTACTGTCATCTGAAGGTAAAAAAAGCAGACTAGGTCCCTTGCCCTCTGCTACAGGTGTTCTTTGATGTGCACAAGCCAGGGATCCAGCAACATAAAGGCACTTCTTGAAAGAGCAGGATTTGACTCTGTCTGATTAAAGGTAGTGAGTTAGCCCCTGGAAGTATTACAATATAGTAGATGGAATTGCATTATACTTCAAGCTTTCAGCAAATGATTCATTCAAGAACAGAGTCAGTCATAATCTTTGAATTTCTTGTCTTTGAAGATGCTGATCAATGGAACTTTTTTTGATAACAAACACCTTTGAGGGTTTATTAATACAGGTCATTGAAAAATTTACTATCCTACTAACTACAGAGAAGGGAAATTCCTCCTAGCTTTACATGTGCATCTGTAAATATACAACACCCTAAAGGCAGCTCCCAGAAGTTCAAGACTCCTTTCAATTTTCAGAGCAAAGTACCTTTTTCTTCCGGTAATCTGTGAATCCAAGAAATCCTACTTTCGTGTCCTTGAACACTGAATTAGTAAGGACAAGTCACATTTCATGATTGTGGCAAAATGCCAGCTAGCATTTCACAGGCCTAGAGACTATGAAGCAAAAGGCTGCAATCAGAACCTTAGCAGAAAATATTTGTTAGCTAATTTATAAAAAGTACAAGTGCTTCATCTCTGACATTATACTAAACCTTGAAAGATATGTGTACATTTAATGCAGCTGCTTTCTTTTACAGACATCTCTTACATGTGCCTGGAGTCATGTTGATCAGGCACAGGAGTGAGCTGGTCGTGGGCACCTGCCATTGCTAAGCACAGCTAATACAATCCTGGAGCAAGCTGCCTTCTGAATGGCACTTGGGAGTGAGGGACACGAGGAGTAGTGCTATAAGTAAGTACAGTTCAGCAGAGAAAAACCCACTTGACTGAACCCAGTGTTTACAGAAATGTGGATACACTGCTTGAACTCAGGCTCTGCAGATGTCACTCTGTCTTTATGCAGCATGTACTGTTGATTTTGTTTAACCCTGCAACATCTTCCTGCTGTTCCTGTTAAAGTTACCAGCTCACAGCTCTGCAAATGGCTGTGGCATGAAGACATCTGCAAAGGAACCAGAGCAAACCTCATCTTCTAACAAACCAAAATCATGTAGCAGAATGCAGGAGTTGACCACAGTGCTGAGCAAGTGGTGTATGTCCATATGATCTGCTCCAGCTGGATGGGCATATCCTTTTTTCTCAATAAAGAAGGAGTAGAATTTAAATAAAACTGCAGAGGAGGGTATGATAGGAAGACCAGCCAAGCACGACAGGATACTTGCACAGATCAGTGAGCACAGAAATCCCCTAAGCTCTCTTCCCCTACTCCTTCACATGGGAGTTGTCAAAGTGATGTCACCCTGAAATCTGGTCCCCTTCTAAGTGCTGGGGGGATAGCAGAGGTCCTGGGAAAAGTCTAAATTACATTCTTACACGATCATGCTTTGAAGACTGTAGCCTGCTGTATGAACAGTTCATTTTAATTTGCCGTAGGAATGAAGCTCCGGGAAGGGCATATGAGGACTTACAGAGTTGAGGCATAACAGACCCTTACTGCTCAGTTTTGTAGTTTCTGACAGGGCTAAAGACCTGGGATGCAGGTTATAGGGATGACTCTTCTTCCTGTCACCATTATTTCAAAAAGGAAATAGACAAATTAATTGTCTATCAGAAAACCAAAAATATAAAAAAATAAAGAAAAATAGCTCCACATAAACTATACAGCATAAAATAAAGAACATACAGAAACACTGACCACTCTGTAAACATTATTTTTATATGGCCTCTTCCAAAAACATGCAGCAATTCACAGATTTATCAAAGTTTATCTACTTTTGCCAGTTTTCCTTTGAAAAGGAACTATATAATTACTAATTTTTGTGCTGAAAAGCATATCTTAAGTGTTACTGAAAGTGAGTTAAATCTCCAGGTTGCACAAAAATGTGAGTGTACACCCACAGACACCAAGCAGGTCAGTAAACTGGGAGTTTACTATAGGCCACCCAGCCAATACAAAAATACCAATTAATTACTCTTTAAGAAAAAAAAGGTTGCCTCTAAAACAATGGCCCTTGTCTTTAAGAAGGACTTCAACTTGTCATGTGTTAAGTCAGAGCACCACACAGCTGGCAGAAACAGGACCAGAAGATTTCTAAAACACATGGTAGCATTTCTAAAACACCCGATAACTTCATGGTACAGTTGCTAAGGGGACAACCAAGAAAGCTGCCCTCCTGGATTTGCTGCTTGATAATATAGAAGGTCTCATGAATGAAGTGGTAATTGCTGACTGTCTTGATCACAGTGATCACAAAAAAGACCAGTTTAAAAATCTCTGGTGACAGGAGTGAAACTGGCAAGAAAGTTTCAACATAAGGAGAGCAGTCTCACTTCAGTGGCTGGTAAAATTATAGAGAAAATAATTCTGATAGTTACTGAAAAACACCTGAAAGACAATGCAGTCATCAGTCACAGCCAGCATGGCTTCAAGAAAGGGAAGTCCTACTTAACAGCTCAATTTACTTTTTTGACAATGTAGTCCTCCTAGCTGGTCAAGGGAAATCAGTTGAGAAAATGTCCAGCCCACATCATGTGGTGGGTGAGCAGCTGGCCCATGGGTCAGGCACAGAGGGCTACAGTGAATGGGGTGACATCAGACTGATGTGACCTGTCACTAGTGGGGTTCCACTGGGCTCCATCCTTAGCCCTGTGTTCTTCAACATCTTAATAAATGACTTGGACATAGCACTCATAAGTACAGTAATTTTGACAATGACACTTGAAGACAGAGAGGCCCTGCAGAGAGACCTCAGCTAATCCGAGATCTGGGCAATCACAAACCGTGCGAAGTTTGACAAAAACAAGATTTTGTCAAACAAGTTTGACAAAAAGCCGGATTCTGCACCTGGGACAGAGCAACCCTGGTTGTATGGACAGGCTGGGGAATGAGCTGCTGGAGAGCAGTGCCGTGGAAAGGGACCAAGGAGTCCTTGTCAAAGGCAAGTTGAACATGAGCGAGCAGTGCCCTTGCAGCCAGGAGGGCCAGCTCTGTCCTGGGCTGCATCAGGCACAGCATCAGCAGCCAGGAGAGAGAGGGGATTGTCCTGCTCTGCTTCTGCTTGCTTTTGATGTTCTTTATTTCTCACACAAACCTCTCCTTAGTTACAAGAAAACTAGTTAAAGAATATCCTAGAGTCTTTTTTATCTTAGAACAGAAAAAAAACCTAAAAGCAGAGCACTTTCTTCTCTAAACCACCTGCAAGCTCATGAAAAATCTTCAGACTTAAAAGAAAAACTTGCAGAGGTGTTTAAACAAAACAGACTGAGAATCTATTGAAAAAAACCACAAGGAAAATTCCCCTCTTATGTGGGAAGATTATTCAGCAGGGCTAAATATTAATGGGGTTTCGTGGTTTTTATCACAAATATCAAAGAGGAACTTGTTACATTAAAGAAAAAGGGAGTTAGAAGCAAAAGTTTTCAGTATGTTATTAATTTGTGAAGCTTGATAGCATTTTTTATTTTTTAACTAGTATTTTACTAGCATCCCACACAATTTATTCAAAACCTTAAATTGCAGTGAATACATTCCAATCACAAATGTATCTGGGAAAGATTTGCTGCATCAAAGATATTTTTGCTTGACCCACTTGGAAAGGTTGCATTTTAAAACCAAAGCAGTATTCCAAGAGATATGCAACTGACCCTTGCAGTCAAAACTGTTATGTGTTTTCTCAGATCCTGGGTAAGTGCAGCAAAATCAAAGTGCAAGCAGCTTGCTAAGCACTGTTTTACCTGTTTGGGCATGTAACAGAACCAATAGATAGAAAGAGGAGAATGCAGAGGTTTGTTTTTGTTTCATCCACAATTACTGTTTAACAAAAGCACATCTGAGACAAAGGTTACCCTGTACAGAGGGCATGACAGACACTTTTCTATCAGATGCTTGGATAACCCGTGAGGACACTGCTAAGCTTTCACACTGTCAGTTGCACCCATCCACCCCCAAAAATAACAGCATTTTTTCTGAATTCCAAGCCCAGACTTCTGTAGGCTTTGATTCCATCCTGACAAAAGAAATTAGCTACATATTTCCCACTAGTGTTAACACTGATGCAACTTTCTGACATCAAGCAAGGCACAATCCATTGTTCATGTAGGCATTTGGCTTTTTGCGATGCCACATCAATTAGATCTGCCACTTGCACCCTCCAAGCTTCAGCATCCCAGCTGGTTCTCTTTTGTCTAATACAAGCAGCAAGCTCCTTCTGTGATATTTGCTGTAACCCTCTCCTCAGCTTGGTAGGGAAAAAGATGTGTTGTGGTGGGTTTTCCACGTATATTACCCAACAGATTCCCTTTGAACAACAGCAGTCCTCCCCTTCCCAAATGCAGGCAATCTAAGTACACAGCAGATCCTGAAACTAACACTTAAAAACTGACTTGCAAGGGGGCAACTTTGGAAAATGCCTCCCTTTTTTTTCATATGATTCTTGGATCATTTTATTTTGATCTATTCCTTGACAATTCAGAAAATATATTTCACTTAGCTGTGTTTTAAAACTATTATTTAAGAAGATAATCAGACCAAATATTATAACAAAGAAGGGTAAAGGGAAAATTAAAATGAGGTAAATAAAAACCTTTGCAAGAAAGTAAAATAAGCTAAGCAGAAGGCAGGGGGGAAGTCATATTTTTTCCCTAAAAGATGCTCTAAGTTCCCATACATTTCTGCAAACAAATATGCCATCTAATTTTGTCACCTTTCAGACAATTTTTCTGATTGCATTACTAGGCATTTGTGCAACTCCCTTAAAAAATTAGCTGTAGTAGGGTAGGCAACTCAGTTCTCAGCAGAGCAAAGGAAGGAATTTTAGCCAATTCAGCTGCAAAATTACACCACTTACTGAAGACCCATTAAAGATGAAAAAATGGCTCTGGCTTCTTCTACCAATTAGAGCAATCCCAAGTTTCAATCCAGGGAAGAAGGGTCCTCTCCTTATAGGATTTTTTTTGTGCAAAATCTACTGCTGCTGCCTCTCTTTCATACCTGGGACAAAACCTCTGACAGTCCCCAAAATACAAACCCCAGCACTAGCAGTGCTTCTCCCAGGGATGATGCTAGTCTTGCAGGGTGAGCAGAGGCTGCCCAGAGGATGCTGCTGCCAGCAGACCCTCCCTTCCCAGGGGCAGACCCTCATCTTCAAAGCATGTGCCATCACTCACAACACCTGCATCTGTGGTCTGGTTGTAGTCCTTTCTTCCAGCAGACACTTCTAAGGATGCAGAGGGGATGTTGTGGCATATTGACTTTAACAATCTTGGCTATAGAAAGCTTCTCATAGGCCCTCCCTGTACCTGTCAAGGCCAGCACACAACTCAGCTCTAAGGACGCTTTTTCTTCATCTTATGCCCAAAACCACTTGTGTGGGTGGATGAGGAGGGCAATGTTCCCTGTCCTGGCTTCTTGCATACATCAAGTCTGTCTTTGGTCTGCCAAATTGAAGACATAGCTGAACTAGAAGGTGGTACACTGACCCCAGCCTAACAGCTGAACAAACTTTGCAGCCATAAATTATGAAAACACACAAAGGGAAAGGTCAGGAGGAAGTGTTTCCTCATCATGGCCAAGTGACAAGTTCTCACTCTCAATGTGAGCGCTGCCCATGTGAGTAGCACTGCCTGGGTGGTTAAAGAAAAGCAGCTGGGCGAGAGAGAGGATGTGGTTACTTCTTAGAGGACTTAGAAATCAAATAAAGTCTTTTTTCTTCCTATTTATTTTCTCCCCCTTTTTCTTTTTTTTTTAGTGTTTCCTTCAAAGCCTTTTCTAGTCCATAAAACCTGCTATCTATATGTGTCCTGTTTGTTCCTGGCAGGAACTGTTACCACTGAAGCTTACCTTTTTGTCTCCAGTTTGTGGTTTGTTGGTTTGGAGGGCTTTTTCCCTATATTTGCCACATATCCTGTTTGGGGTTTTATCATCACAGCACCTGGAGCAGAGTTTTTTAGGGTCTTATCACACCCTCTTGCTTATCCACTCCTGAAGCAGTTATAAATAGTTCCAAACCTGCACTCTGAGATAAAATGCTTTCTCTCTTTCACCATCTTTCTTTCTCTTTAATCTCATTCTTCTTCGGCCCAAGGGTAAGTGCACTAGTGCTTAGAGCACTACCTTCTGCTCTCCTGTTTAGACTGGAAATTGGTAAG